CTTCCGCCCTGCCTCCACCTCTAACACCACCTCCTCCTCCCTCCATCCAAACTGAACGTCTCGTCGATCTTCCTCGTGTGTCTGATGTTCTTCTAAACTTTGCAGCCTCTCCTCGTCCCCGCCCTCCTCGGCTAGTCGTTTACGCTCACGCCCACTGAACCTCCACCTCCTCTCACGCACCTCTCTCTCCACCCTCGCCTCTCCCTTCTCCACCCTTAACTGTCTCCAGCTCTGCGGCAGTGATCCTTCATTTCTCTCGTTTCATCGCTCTCCACTGTGCACCATTTTATTTCTGTGTACGGCGCTAAAATAGCGTTAGCATAACTTTTATCAGCGTCTGGAGGTGGCGAGCAGAAACTGTGGCAGCGGTTTTTATTGAGCGCATAAAGAGCAGCTCCGGCCGGAGTAATCAAGGAAGCAGTGTTTTTGAAGAGTTTACAGCACCCAGCAGTTTCTACTTTAAAATCTGTCGTCAGAGGAGTCATGTGCTACGGTGGCTGGGAGGTCCAAAACGTCCTCAAAGGCGGGGACTGTCTTACCTTTGGAATGACCTGAACGCAGCTCGCTCCGGGCCTCAGGCACACGGCAGAATCATGACCACGTTCCTGCCATCAATTGTTAAAATGCGCCTTTGAAGCCTGAGAGGCGGGGAGGATCAGGACAGGGTCATGTGACTAGCTGCAGACCTCGTCACATGACCACTCCTGATCCACATGGTGCGTTTGCAGCAGTCTGATGTCCGTTTAGGTGAACCTGCAAATATTTAACTCTGCTAAAAACTGAGCCTTAAACACCACGTACATCCGACATCGCCACCAATCAGATATGGGGGAGGAGCTTATTTATGCCCTTTGAAGGCAGTTGGAGCTCAGCTTCACTGAGTTGGTTCAGCCTGACTTTGACACAGAGCCGGGAAGCAAAGGGCGAATCAGGCGAATTGTTGGCGAATGACGTGTTTTCACACAGGTGACGCAAAGCGAAACCTGACTTCACATAGTAAGAGTGCAGCAGGGTCTACGACGAGGCTGCGACTGTTTCCTCCACCTAACGCCACCGAATGTCCGTGAAGAAGACCTCAGAAGGTGAAACGCCTCCAGTGCAGGACAAACATCAGTCTGAGGTTTGAGCTCCGAGCATCGCCCCTACTTTATGCTCGCTGCCGACACCGTCCGTGATTTGGTGTCGCTTCAACTTCGTGGGTTTTTGCAATGTGGCGCAGCGTTGTCTGCGAGTGCGCCGGTCCATACAGGAAACATCTGTGGACGTCACTCAGACCGAAAGCTTCCTGCAAATAAAAGTTTTGGCAAAGTTTCCCTTAAACTTTGAACAAAGTCCTGAAGAAGTATCAGCAGCAGCTTCCTGATGCTGTGAAGCTCAGACCGTAACTTCTGACACACTACGACGACCGCAGCCACGAAGACGTCCAGCTTCACGTCTGAGGTGACGTCTTTCCAAGGTCAAAGTTTCACTTCCTGTCCTGCTTTGAGAGGTTTCCTGAATCCTCCTCGCTCGTATTGTTCGGCTCTGAGGGACACTCAGGTGCACGCACCTGTCCGGGTCTCGGCTCTGCGGTTTCTACCTGGTGCTCTGATCTCTTCGTGAACTCTGAACTCGCTGTTCCTGCCGTCGATGGTTTTCCTCCACGCGCCTGCGCGCTCTGACACGCTGAGCTGAGTGAGCGTCGCTTCACCGCCACAGATGGTGGAAACGACGGGTGAGACCTCAGTGATGAAGGTTTATTAAAGAGCAGCTTTTATGGACATGATGAAGAGCCTCCGTCTGCACTTTGTGTTTACACACAGTTTTAATTTTTCACTTCATCAAACTTTATGCGTACGGCCTCTCGGGCAGGTCAGAGGTTCAAAGAGCGTCACGAGCGTCCAATTATTTGGATAAATGAACCAGTCTGTGCGCTGAGAGCGAGTCAATAAAATGAGAAGCAATCCAACAATAAATCCGCCACAAATGGAAATGAAGAGCCTCACAGAGCGCCGCGCTACAGCAGCAGAGGACATCAGCAAACCAACAGCGTGTCAAAACTTTATCGAAACGCCTCCCAGGACGCCACACGGTGACACGGACGTGGCGCCGAGACGAGAAACGTTTCCCTGTGAACCATAAAACACAGAAGTGTGCGGATGATTTCGCCAGGCGCCGACCGGACCGCAGCTGGGCCTGACGTAGATAAGTTGGAGTCTGTTTCAGCGTTTGCACCTGATGGAGTCGACCTCCACCTTTGTGCCTCACACAGAAACGGCAGGCTGCCTGACGCCGCCTCAGTGAGACGGCCATCTTTGATGTGGTTTCAGAGAAGAGGAGCACGTTTTCATTGGGGGGAGGGCTTTAAATGAGGGGGGAGGAGTCTGTCTGCAGCATGCTGGGCCAGACTCGTTGTTTACTACCAATTGTCCAATCAGAGCCGCAGGAGCAGCCGAGCGCTTGGCCCCACGTGACGGCGAGAAGACGGCAGTAACAGGAGTCATGTGAGAACATCGTAAGGACGCAGCAAGCATTTCAGCTGAAACACGCCGAAGAAAGAAAACGACCTTCATCGTGTCAGGAAAACAGCACAGGGACGCCACGAGTCACAGGGAAGCAAGGAGGCGAGGAAGGATGAAGACTGCGACAGAAAGGGAAGAAGTGCAAAGGAAATAGGAGGCAAGAGAAGTGAAGCAGAATTATAGAAACACAACGTGAAGCTGGAAGAGGCTCTGAGGCTGTCTGCTCAGGAGGAGGGTCACTCCAGCTCGGCTGAAAAGCTGCCAGATGTGCAGCACTCAGACAGATGTGTACAGACAAAGAGCCAAACAGCTGCAACAGAGCAGCGCCACCTACAGCTACAACCACAGACTGTATATGAGCGATGACGTCTGGAGGGCTCACTTCAGTCTGCATCCACAGAGACCTGCTGATCACTCAGCTCAAGCTCCGCCTCCTCACAGATGGACATTAAAGCAGGTGAGCTGATAAGAGCGCTGCCGTTTGGGCTCTATCAGTCGTGTCATCTTATCGCTGATTCACATCAGCCTCGCACAGACCTGGCTGCACGATCGTGTGCACACCTGTCAGAGAGCAGCAGGTGTCCCTCCAGAGCTCAGAGTGGACCGTCACAGCTGAGGGCCAGCAGCTCACACAGGCTTTAAACAAACCACTGACTCCGCCTCCTCGCCGATGTTTGCCTTCGTCTGCTTGGAGCAGACAGACGCTGCTCTCGCTGCCCGTTTCTGACGTCCGTCACCTCTTTGTAACGAAGCAAACACACCTGTGTGTCCAGCTCGCACCTGCGGAGGTCTCCGACCCCGAGACCGTGGTCATCAGGGAGGAGCTCGTGTATGTCAGGGTGTCTTTTGCACGCGAGGCGCTGACAGACGGCAGGAACCCTCACCTGTGCACACGAGCTGCAGGTGGGGACTGCAGGGATGAAGATACTGTAGATGAGCTGGACACGTGCAGGTGTGCCTGCTGCCACAGCTTTGTAGAAGAAGACATGCGTGCAGACTGTCGTGCAGGTAAACGCCGCGGGCTCATTAAACCTGCGTCAGGTGGTGGTGCAGGGCCTTGTGTTCCTTCAGAGCGCGGCGTAGTTTCTTGCTGACGTGACGCAGGAAGCGAGCAGCCTTTCTGCGGGTCTGAATATTCTCCCCGCTGCTCCCCTAACTCTCAGCCCCACCCCGCCTGCTGTGACTTCTCCCCGTTAATGGCGTCGCTCAGACTGTGACAGCAGGGCCATAACACATAAAGACAGTGGGCTGAACTCAGTGAAAGCCACTCTGGGAAGCCCATTACAGCACAGCCGTGCCTCTTTATGCATTCTTCCCGGGCCCGTATCGGCCCTCTATTGGGATCACGGGGCCACGGCTTCGGACACAGGGGCAATATACACACTGCATAAAACATTAATGGCGTGGCTCGGCCGGCTGCCGCTCTCTGCTGCAGGCGAGGGTCGAGAACACGGCGGGTAATAAAACACAATCCTTCACCGGCTCATAAAAAGTGTCGAGAGTTTGCTTCTGAGTGAGGCGAGCTTCCCGAGTCTCTTTACCGCCGCTGACACGAGCGAGCGGCGTGACTGAAATACAGCCGTCACCAGGACGGTACCTACTACACAGCTCTAAAGGGTTAAAGGTCAGAGGTCAGCAGCAGTGGAGATGGATGAACCTCTGCTCGTTCAGGAGTCAGGCTGTTAAGAGAGACAGAGATTGATAGTATGATTCAGTGCAGAGAGGTCTGTTAACACATAGTGAGGAAGAAACACTCAATGCATCATGGGAATCCCCCGGCAGCCTATTGCAGCATAACTAAGGGAGGATTCAGGGTCACCTGGTCCAGCCCTAACTATATGCTTTAGCAAAAAGGAAAGTTTGAAGCCTAATCTTGAAAGTAGAGATAGTGTCTGTCTCCTGAATCCAAACTGGAAGCTGGTTCCACAGAAGAGGGGCCTGTAAACTGAAGGCTCTGCCTCCCATTCTACTTTTAAATACCCTAGGAACAACAAGTAGGCCTGCAGAGCGAGAGCCAAGTGCTCTAATAGGGTGATATGGTACTACAAGGTCATTAAGATAAGATGGGGCCTGATTATTTAAGACCTTGTATGTGAGGAGCAGGATTTTGAATTCTGGATTTAACAGGAAGCCAAAACAGGAGAAATCTGCTCTCTCTTTCTAGTCCCTGTCAGGACTCTTGCTGCAGCATTTTGGATCATCTGAAGGCTTTTCAGGGAGTTTTTAGGACATCCTGATAATAATGAATTACAGTCGTCCAGCCTGGAAGTAATAAATGCATGAACTAGTTTTTCAGCGTCACTCTGAGACAGGATGTTTCTAACTTTAGAGATGTTGCACAAATGGAAGAAAGCAGTCTGACATATTTGTTTAATATGTGCGTTGAAGGACATGTCCTGGTCAAAAATGACTCCAAGGTTCCTCACAGCGTTACTGGAACAAAACACCTCTGAGATGAAACCATTAACTAACCCCGTTCTCCCCTCTCTCTCCCACCAGCTGTACATCCAGACCACCACGCTGACCATCTCCATGAACCTCAGCGCGTCCGTGGCCCTCGGCATGCTCTACATGCCCAAAGTCTACGTCATCATCTTCCACCCGGAGCTCAACGTGCAGAAGAGGAAACGATCCTTCAAGGCCGTCGTCACGGCCGCCACCATGTCGTCCCGGCTGTCGCACAAGGCCAGTGACCGGCCCAACGGAGAGGCCAAGACGGAGCTGTGCGAGAACGTCGACCCCAGCAGTAAGTACCTGACACCGCACAGTTAGAAGAGCTCATCCAAACACCTCGAGTGACGTCTCAAAGGTTCTGTTTCTCTCACAGAAAAGAGAGCGCTTTCTGTGAGTTTAACCGTTTTATCAGATTCATTTTTTTGGTACTTCGAATGATCTGGAATAAATCCAAACCTCAGGTGTTTCGTTCAGATCATAAATAAAATTCTGCGGCTAAAACGTTTCTTTGAAATTTGAGCATAAAACTGAAGATGTCACAGACTTGTTCCCTGTTGTTCCCGGAGGTGAAACGTTGACCCTGAACACGATGTTTAAATCTGCCTGTGACGAGTCTGTGGAGCCGGCGTGTGTTTGGACGTCCTGATCGCCGCTTTCAGGCAGACACTCAGTTTCTGTGCTTCAGGCTGAATGAATGAAGCGATGAAAATAAAGTCTGATGCATGTGATCATCAGCTGCTAAGCTACGTTTAGCAGGAAGCAGCAGGAAGGAGAGGAGGGTTTTATTAAATGTTGAACTGTTCCTTTACAAATGCATGAGTGCATGTGCTAATCACGTCTCTGAATACAAACCGGCTTTTATTTTTGCAGCCCTGTCTCCAAGAACTAACGTTTATATGCTGAACACCAGCGTGGGTCTAAACCTGCGTGATGATTGGCTCGTTAGGATACATTATCGGCCTCGTTGTCCTCGTTAGCGTCTCTCCAAACTTCTGAAATACATGAAAAGTCAGATTTTCAGGATCTGTGGGGCGGATTAGCAGCTGATCTCACAGAAAGCAGGGAGTCTGTGTTTGAATGAGCTCCAGTTAATACTGAGAAATCTGAGACATGGATTTAATGTAAAGGCTGAAGAGGACGACTCTGCTGATTCCTGTCATTAACTGAACACGCCCACAGTTTTAATCAATGAGCTAAATGTCTGTAAGAATAATCCATCTGAAACAGAAGCACACGCAGTACGGCTCACGCTGTGCGCTGCCCCTCAGCAGGCTTCCTAACGCTGGCCAATCAGAAGAAGGTGGGCCTTAAAGAGACAGAGGATGAACTAGCGAGCTGCACCAAAGTCCGGGGCTTTTTGAACTGTGACTCATGCAAAGCTGCTCCAGCAGAGTGTGAGATAAGAGGAGATATTTAACCTTTACCATCGTGAGGTAACACCGCTCCCAGGGTGGAGCTCCGTGAGCCCCGCAGCCACCCCGGCCACCTCGCCACCAGGCCTAGGCGTCTTTTCTGGGAGGGCTGCTGCTCACTAACTCTGGGCCACATGTAACTTCCTTTAGTTCCACAGAGATGCTGAAACAACAGGTTTATCAGTCATTCCTTCATCAAAGTGACGAATCGTTTTCAAACAGTAAACTCGCCGGTATGGGTTCACACTCAGACGTGTCGACGATGGACCGTCGCTCTGATCGTTCTCCTCTCAGAACAAATCACACCAAGAAACGTCTCCGTGACATCATCAGTGACATCATTCAGACTGATGATGTTGGAGTGAACGGGGCTGCGGGGGCCTGTTCTGCTCTGTCCTCCAGTGCATGGAGCAGAAATCCATCTGAGCCAGAAACGGCGTTTACAACATTTTTCCTGCTTTCGTGGCGAGCTGATGTCACCTCGTCACAGGTTTCATCACCCGCAGGCGCAGCCTGACAAAGGACCGGAAGTTCCCTGTGGGCGGAGCCAATCACCATCACATGACAGGAAGAGGCGGCTGACAGCAGACCAAACTGAGCTCGAGGTCATTAATGCTTCAGCGTGAGCTCACAGGCTGCAGCTACACGAGTCCTAACAGGAAGTCAGCCATTCTGGAGACACCTAAATGTCCTCGGAGACGCTCCTGAACTCGATCACAGCTGCTCTGAGTGACGCTAAAGGAACGCGAGGTGGGAACGAGCAGGTGCAGGACGAGGATGCGCTCCTGACGCCGCTGAGAAACGCCGCAGTAATAGCAGAGTCAGCGGAAAGCTTCGGCTCGCAGCTTCTCAGAAATAGTTGAATAGTTGAAATTACATGTCTGTGTGATCAAATTACCAGCTCACAGTGGGGTTCCCTCTGGGACCACTCACCAAATCATGTTTTTCTCCCCCTCACAGGCTAATTTCATAATTTATCAGAGGTAAGAGCAAATTAATCTTCTGCTTCTGCTTTGCTGTCCCGACCTTGATCCATTTTCTCCTGGAGGTCTGAGGAGGAGGAGAGAGACCCGAGTGGGGAGGGGATGTAAAAGTGACGTCCTCGGCTCTTTACCGCCCTCTTTCAACCGACTTTAACTTTTACACGAGGAGGTTGTAGCGTGGCGCTCCGAGCGGCAGATTTAAGGCCGTCCTCCGGTGCTTTAACTGCACGTCCGACCCCCAGTGACCTCCGGGGTTCCTGCGCCGCTCCTGAGTCCATCAGGATGTAAAGTGTGCAGCTGTTGAACCTGCTGTGAAACATCCAGCCGACGCAGCAGGCCTTCATCCAGCTTTGGGCTCTGCACGTGCTCAGAGAGTGTCCCAGTCATGGCCAATCCAGAGCTCCCAGAGCCCCCGTGAGACCACTGTGTCCGCCACCTCACCCGGGACCCTCACACAGCCCACCGGGCTTTCGCCACACCGAGTGATCGGGCAGATCGAGGAGCCTAAGTTTGGTTGTTTCCTGATGTGCAGGATCTTCCTGTTGAACCTCTGAAGCCCCTCCCGGGACCCCTGACGCAGAGACGGCTCTGCCTCAGTGAGCTAATTTAATACACCGTGTCACCAGGGGAAAGCGCGCATGTAGCTCCTCCCACACCACAGATGTCAGGATTTAAAACGTATGCTTGATTTGTGGAGCTGCATTAAAGAAATATAGACACAAATGGGCACCAAGTCCCAGAATCAGCAGCCGTGGTGGTAACGTGATCCACGCACGCGTATCGGCTCGAACAAGAGGCTGTAACTGCAGCTCGCACGCCGCCTGTGCAGGCGTGGCGTTTCTGTAATGTGCTGAGCTCTCTGCTCTTCATGATGGCAGAGTACAAATGCAAACATCAGCTTTCAGAGTCCAGAGTTCCTCAGTGGCCGTGACGGCGGCCGTCTGCAGGGTCTGTCAATAAGAATCACTCCTGTCCTCGTCCTGCAGACATCGCAGAGGAGACGCCAGAATCTGAGAAACAGTGGCGGTAAAACCGGGTCCTGGTCTGATTGATTAATCTGGATCAGCTTCAGCTGCTCTCAGTAAAACTCCGGAGGCTCCTCAAGGCGCCGTGGCTGTAACCATAAATAATGACACCCCCGCGGGAAAACCTCAGTGGCGCAGCCCGAGGCCCCGTCATAATTACAGCACATCAGTCACTGTAGTTAGTTATGGCACACCGGGGGGGGGGCAGAGCCATCTGTGGGCCGGCCCACGCTCGCCACTCCGCCTCCCCTCTCATTCGGCCTCGAGCGTCTCAGCGCTCCCCTCCTCCTTCACTTTGTAAATCCTCTCTTTCCTCCTCCTACTCCTCACCTCCGTCTCCATCCTCCCCGCTCCTCCAGCTGATTCCACCACAAAGACCGCTTTCTCGCTGTCTCTCCATCCTGCGGTACGAGGCCTCGCCGCCTCTCTCTCCACGCCGCCGGCAGAGGCCGAGACGAACGTTTATTTTTGGAGCGATTTGACTTTCCAACACTTCCGCGGTCTGTGAGTCAGCAGCTGTGAAAACAGCCCAGTGCAGCAGCACGCCGAGGCCAGAGATGGCCGACTGATCCATGACAGGACCGCGGCGGATTTCTGAGCGTCATGACGGTAATCAGATCCTCGTTAGTGGGCCTCATGTGACCACACCCCCAAAAGCCTGTAGGAAAACCGGCGGTAGTATCTTGTGTTTCCAGCAGGGGGAGCAGCCACAGGTGAAGCTCATCAATTATTCCTGTTGATATTCTGTCATTGAGCTGAGCCTGTGTGTAAAAGTGTGACACAGGTTTGTATACACGCGTGTGTGAAAGGTCATACAGACTGGCGTTTTCTCCCCTCTGTAACGATGAGGCCGAGAGCGACCAGCTCCCTGACCGATGCTCCTCAACGAGTAATCTCACTCTCTGCACGGAGCAGAAATAAACGTGTTTCCCAGACGTCGGATTTCTGGGGTCTGTGAGTTTTCTGAGACGCTTTCAGCTGCGTTAAAGGAGACTCAGTATCATTTAATCTGGAACCATTATTTTAGGCCTAATTATAGCCAGACTGACTGTTTATGATGAGTGTTGCACAGAAACAGTCTGACTGCAGACGGGGGGGTGGGGGGGGGAGAATGAACAGAAACGTCTTCTTTTTTTGACTAAGTTAATTTATTCGGTTATCGAAGCATGCGCGCCTCAGATCATCAGGCTCCGCCCACCGCTGTCAGACGAGCTGGAGATGTTGCTCCTGAATGTGAATGAGACACAAAGTCAGAGCTGCTCAATATGCAAACGCAGCCGTTTTCTCTTTTATCTGCCACGATTGATGGCGGCTCCTGGTTCCCAGCCATTCGTCACCGGACGAATGCTGAGGGTCAAGTGCCAGCGGGGGCGCTGCAGCAGGGAGATATGGAGGTGGTGGAGCTGCACAGCTCACCTTGAACCCCTCGAACACGTCACGCTCAGCTTCCTGCGTCATTCAGGAGCCGCGTGCTAACTCTGCAGAGCTTCAGCACCGACACGGATCAGGTGTCTGCAGGAGCTCGGCTGGACCGCACACCCACAGCAACGCACCATATTTACTCACAGATAAATCCACGGCAGGGAACAGATGTTACAGGTTTGTGCTACAAACGAGCAACGTGGCGAGTGCTTTAATGAAGAGAGCGCGGGGAGCCGATCGAGTGTTACAGGCAGGAACATGTTAGAGACTGATCCTTGAGTTTATTCCAGGTGCAAAACACAGGGAGCCGAATATTTCAATGAACTCTAATAACAATGTTTGCGTCACACAGTACAGCAGCATGTTTGCCGTCCTCCATCAGAGGCTGAAGCTCGTCGTAGGACTGCCACCGCGGGCCGACACCTGAACACGCGTTTGATTCACGGCTCAGCGAGCTGTTAGTGAAACACCTGCAGCTGGAGGTGTTCTCCAGGTCTGTGGGCACGTCATGTTGAAATGACGGCGCTGTTGTGGGGGCGTAATCCATGAAATCTACGGCATGGAGACACGAGGCAGGCTGTTCCCACTGAGTACAAGTACAAAAACACACAAAAGTACACAAACCTTTCAAACATCCATGAACTCTTTATTTACCAGCGTGTATTTACAGGCCCGACGGACGTCTTTCGTCAGTTTGGCTTTAAATTTAAAACCGTTTGAATTTTGCAGTCATTTGAAGATTTGCTTATAAGATGGTAAATAAAGGGTTAAAAGCATTTTTCCAAGATGTGAAGACTCTACTGAGCATGTGCAGATGAATGATCCCTCACAGATTCAGTCTTTTCATCAGCTGCCATCTTTCCATCTTCAGCTCTTTAGCGCCACCTGTGGCTCAAAGTTAGACCCACCGCAGCGGCTGATCGGTCGACCCTCAGATAAGCCCACACTCCTTTTGTTTCTCCCTCTGCTGCAGATGCTTTTGAGTTATGACCTCTCACCGTCCCGTCCTCCCTGCTGAGAGTTCATAATTCAAGCTTTACTTACCCGAACGTCTGTCATCACCTCATCCCTGCTCCATCATTAACCTTCACCTCTGCTCTTCAAGCAGCCGTGAGGACCGAATCTGACCTCTGTGTCTCCTGCCGTCCCCAGGTCCAGCAGCTAAGAAGAAGTACGTGAGCTACAACAACCTCGTGATCTAACGGCGCTCCTCCGTCACTGCAGAGCGAGATGTCTGATCTCCTGCAAGAAGGACGAGCAACGGGAGAAAAGCGGCGACGTGCAGGACTTTTTCTTTCTCTTCTTTTGGTCTCATGTGCTTCACCGCCCATCGGAGACGTTCAGGTGCAAAGCGGAGCGTGGTGGGACGACCTCTGAACTCTGACCCCTCCGGGTCGAGAAAAGCTCCAGAAATAAAAATCTAATTGTTTTGTCGTTGAAGTGATGCCAGTGGTTGTGAGGTCGAACGCGGCGGATGCATCGGGCGGCGATGACTGGGCGGCGCCGATGGGCTCCGTGCCGCCGGTGATGTCAAACGAAGTGTGAGCCCGCCCCCTCGTGTCTCTTTATGTACTTCCAAACTGCAAGTTCTCACCTTCCTGTCCGCGTGTGTAGTTCTTTATGGCTTATATGTCGGCCTCTTTCCGTTGGTTTGATTTCTGTTGGTTTGTAAGACGGCTGCGGTTGCCATGCCGACGACAGATGTACTTTGCTTCTCGGTTTTATTGAAGCCATATTCTTCTTCGCTCGGAGATTTGGAGGGCTTCGCTCGCGCTGCCACCTGGACTCAGATTTTTATCCTGCAAACGTGAGAAAAAAAAGCCTCTGAAAACAAAGTTTTATGACTCGCTCGGCTCGTTTGCTCCTGACTACATATCCCAGAATCCACTGGGCTGCATGCAGGAAACAGCTGCAGGGCTGAAGGCAGCAGAGGATTTTACAGTGCCCGCTCTGGGGGTGTCTGCTGGCAGTTAGCCACTGTGTAGCCTCGGAGCGGTACCTGCACCGTCCTGACCCCAGTCCTCTTACTCCACCCACACCCCTGCGGGTGGAGTAAGAGGACTTATTTTACTCTTTCTTGGACTTGGCCTGTTCCCATCAATCAGGGACCAAACATGGTTTTATTGTCCCCCTGAAAAAGACAAGAGGTCGTTTCAAAAATACACAATCATTGAAATAAACTTCTTTAATAAACATGATTAAAAAATATCATACCTGAGCTGCATGGTCACAAGCTTACGTCCGTGCTGTTGGCCCCTGCAGCTCCACCCTCAGCCTCTTTTACCAGCTACTACAGCGTTTACCCATCACAGTCTATTCATTAAAAAATCTTCACGGTGGAAATCAGAGTTTAAAAAACAGATGAAATCCAAACAGTGAAACAGAGTAAAAGAGGTTGAAGCCTTTTGGAGAGTCGTGCTCCATTTTTTTTTGCTTATATGTCGACGATCTGATGCTCTGAAAGTTAAAACGAACGACTGGGAGCGCCGAGACCTGCTTTACCCTCTGCTTCCTGTTTGGACCTCAGTCACGCCGGCCTGGAGACGGTTACTCGCACGAGCAGATTAACGAGGTTTATTCCAGGTGAGAATCAGCTGAATGAAGCAAACCCTCAGTGTTGTGAGAAACGGCGTTTTCAGAGGCTTTGACAAACACAGCAGGTCTGACCGTTCAGCTGGCCGTGACACGGAGCCAAAACAGTTTTTAAGTGTTTTTAAAGCCGTTCGTGGTCACCTGATGAAACATTCCCTCCCCGACATGCGTGTTCTTCTCCACACACTGTTTGTAGGTGTTTGATGGCGGCGGTGGGGGTGAGGGGCGGACCCTTACCCCGAGGGAGCCTCCTTCGGTCCAGGCTGAGTCTCTGCTGATTTCATGGACTAAAAAAACCAACTAAAGGTGTCGATGTCGAGGTTGTCAATGCATGCCTGATATGTTTGATGTTGAACCAGAAAAAAAGTTCTGTGCCACAGTCGATCCCACCTGTCTGCTCCGAATCGTCCGTTCCTCGGAAACGTTCTCGCTCGGCAGAATGCGGCTTTGTTCGGTTTCTTATTCCCTGCGGGAGAAACACACGGAGAATATATATTTAAAAAAGAAAAACACGTTTTAAAAAGTGGAAGCATGTATGTTTTCTACTGTTTGTACTTGGTATATTCATGTTGCCCTTGCTGCTTATGTGCCAATGTTGTGGGAGAGATTTACATTTGGCCACTCATGCAACTATTCTGTGGTGTCGTCCAAGAATGTATCAACATGAAATAAAACATTTGGTTATTTTTTTTAGAAACGCCGTCTGTGTATCCATGACGACCCTGAAACACGCTCTCGTGTGACCCTTCACAGCAGCTTTGCATGATTCACTGTTCACAATAATCCTTCTTTATCTTACAGCCCGTCACTTCCTAGTCTAAAAAAAGGCCCCTCCCCCTTCCTTAAATCCAGCTTTCTTCTGATTGGCTGCCTCTTAAGACGCTCCTTAAGATGACCATATAAGAATGTTTCTTCACTATGAGGAAGTCCTGCTCAGCTCGCTTGAGCGGCTGCACGACGCACGCCGTCCGGCTGGTCACCAGCACAGAGAAGCTGCTCTCTGAGCGACTGAGAGCGGCGAAAGACGTGATGTCAGCCTGTGAGCTGCAGCGTCACCTACACATGCGCGTATACGTGCACATGTGCAGTAAAGCAAACAGAATGGAGCTCTGTGTCTGCAGACGGCGAGCGCACAGCACAGATAAGCTGCGCTCGCCTGGCCTCTCCACGTCTTTATCTCCAACATGGAGATAAGCTGCTGCGTGGAGAAAAGATGGAGGTCGAGGAGGTCGGCGATAAGACCGCATCTGCCCGGCCATCAGCCAAACGTGGAGGTCAATGGAAGCACTGCCCGTGGTCAGAGAGGTCGCCGCGTCACTGCAAACTCGCAGACACTCAATGATTTACATGTCGAGGAAATCCGTGAAAGACGCTTCGTCTTGTCTGGCGCCGCGTGGAAACAGCACACGCTGCAGCTGACCTCGAACACAGCGTTCACACACACCGAACACACGCCCCCCAGAGCACATCCAGGTTATTTATGAGATTATATCCACTGCAAGTGTCACTCGTGTGGACGTGTGAAACGTGTAACAGGTCCACTCAGAATGAACTCCCTGATGCTTCAACCCCACATGAGAAGAGTCCAGAGAGATGCTCCACGTGCTCGCTTGAACCCTGCCAGCCTCTCAGAGAGCCTGCGCTCCGTGGTTTACATGTCCCGGTGGAAAAAGGCCGGAATACTGATCCACTTTTTAAAGAGGAAGAAGAAAATCAGAAGAAACAAACTTCTCCCTGTGCGTCTCTTTGCAGTTAGCCCCTCCCCCTGAAGCCCTGCCAGTAACGATAGAGCAGGACTTTGGCCGCCTCCCCCCGCACGTCCTCCTCAGCCTGCCTGAGCCGCAGATAAGAGCGGCTGTGGGGAGGGCTCGGCTTCGTGTGGATTCACATAACTAACCTTTGGTGTCCAATTAGATTAGCCGCCGCCAAACCAATTAGTGTTTCTGTGAGGAAGGAGGAGATGCCAGCAGTCGTATTAGCACTGATATCCTCGCAGCAGGCAAACATGCTGACGGAGCTCTTCAGCAGCCACTGCAGTGGAAAATGCAGCTTGTTTGCAATAAGAGAAAAAAGTTTTGGAGCTGGAACAAAAAGCGTCCGGCTTTAACGAGTCAGAGGAGCCTGACAGCGAGGCCGGGTTCATTTCCTGTCCCGAGGAGACAAACGCAGCTCATCCATTAATGAAGCGCGCCGTTTATCGCCCTTCCAGCCCGGACCGCTGCGAGCACCACGAAGCATCGTTTAAAGCAATCAGAGCGGCTTCGCTGTCACGCTCCGGAGCGCTGAGCTCTTTGGGGCGTTTGGGAGGAAACAGGAAGTAAGCGTTGCCACGGTTCAGTAAACTAGTCCCCGGGCGACAGCTTGAATCACCTGAGCACGACTCGTCCCAGGTGAAAGGACAAAGCACAGCACTCTGATGTACACCTCGCTCCACAGACACACACAAGCAGTTACACAAAAACTATTTGACATGTCAGTTAAACCCATAACAGTGACACAGATGTGATGAAAGAGCTGAGATCCATGAAGATCAGCAGCAGGACGGCCGACAGCCCAGCTGAAGCACACCTGATTCAGTGTGTTGTTTCCACAGGTAAAGGCAGGGTCACCTGTCACCTCACACTATTATTACATGATACTTATAATATAGCTCCCTGTATTATTGGTCACATGATGTCGAGAGTCCGGATCAGCCTATCAGCTACAGCCACCTGTGGGTCAAAGAGGCCACGCCCCTAATAATGCAAACTTTACAGACTTTAAAGCCTTAATATAGTTTAACAGGTAAGTTATAAAATCAGATGTCATGAGGTAGGGCTGGGTGTCGTCACTGATTTCTGGAATCGATTCAATTCTGATTCACAAGGTCCCGAATCGATTCGAATCAGTCAGAAATATTATAATTCTGATCACTTATCAGCACATATCCATATTTTATATCTATAAAAAGAAAGCTGACACTGTGAGACTTTATCACAGGTGTGAGCGTCGCAGCAGAGGCCTTTGTGTCAAAGTAGCTGAGGATGAAACAGAAACAGGTGAAGGAGGTTTTCCTGGTCTGGGATTTTATAGCAGATGACCCTGAAAATATTCAGCAGTCGATCAAAAACTGAAGAGAACCATGACTCAACATCTGAACATGACCTGATGCTGAAGCGTAGTTTGGATCTTTTCTTGCTGCTGGTTCGGTCAATATTGTTTGGAGAGCAACAAAACTGCAGCTTCAGAATCAAACACAAAGAAGACGTAAACACAAAGCGCCGACCCAACGAAACATCAGAATCAGCGAGCTGTCGGCTTTCAGCCCCGACCGTGTCCATGCCGTCGGGGGCGACAGCTCGCTGATTCCGATGCGTCGGCGGGTCGAGCTTTGTGTTTACGTCTTTGTGCAGAATCGTGTTCCTGCTCTCATTCACTGTTTCAGCTGTTTGGTGGTTGTTGGAATTTGTGAGGTTTAACCTGAGATTCTGGCGTTTGGAGTAAAAAATAAATTTACATTTAAAAATAGATTGGGGGTTTTAATGAATCGATATCACGTTATCCAAGCTAGAATCGATTGTAATCGATAAATGGATCATCAAAACCCGCCCCTGCTATGAAGGGAAACACAGGGCCTGTGGGGGCTGACTCACTGCTGCCCCTGCTGGATGTCAGAGAAACTGCAGCAGGTCAGGAACCTTATTCATGTGATCCAGACTGTTGACGCTTCATGCCCCCCCCCATAAAGTTCAGACTACAGCGGCTGAAGAAGAAGAGCTCCTGCATCAGCGTGTAGGCTGAGGAGCACAGAGCAGCCGGCAGTTTAATCACGATGGAAAAAGTAAAAGAGAGAATAGAAGCTGCAGCCA